GTGCGCGTGTGTGTGTGTGTGTGTGTGTGTGTGTGTGTGTGTGTGTGTGTGTGTGTGTGTGTGTGTGTGTGTGTGTGTGCGCGTGTGTGCGCACATCTTGAACTGGGAGTGTCTGTGTGGTTTGGCCCCTGGGGGGATAGGCTAAGTAGGCTAATTCTCCCCCCTGCTAGCTGCTGTTAGCAGGGTGAGCAAGGCACCATGGGACGAGGCGATAAGCAGGATCACATGCCGAGCTGCGCGCAACAACACTGACATATGTGGCTCGTATACATGGGCCGGAGTTCAAGGAGCTGAAAGGAGCTGTTTGACCAGGGTGAAGTGTGGTACATGCTTCACACTCAAAAGAGACGACCGCCTGTCAGCGCATGGATGATGAGGTGAACGGGAGCAACGGCAAGCCTGATTTATTGGAGGACAATAATACTCCTCGCATCAGCCAGTCATGTGGAGCGCTCTAACAATACGAGCAAAGCTATAATTTGGGCTTGTCTCTTTTGCTAAGTGTCTGCTGTTCTGAATTGGGCAAAGCCAAAGCGGCCACGTGCTGAGCGATTGATGCGTCCGGCTCTGGGAATGCACATTTCCTTTCAAATAGGAAGTGCACCCGTACTTCAAATCAGTAGCGGTTTTCTCCCACTGACTGCGCTGCAGCTGATTCAGGCTGCACCTGCATGTCAGAGCAGGGGAAATCTCTCCGCACTCGGCCCTTACGCTTTCATTGCCCACATCCACAGCCTTGCAATCTTCCATTGCCATGAATGGGAGAGCCTGGCATCATGCCTCCAATGAAGGCCATGGCTAGGCGTTGATTTCACATAGCCGCCACACCACATCTTTACTCCGCAGTAGGGGATGCATTGAATGGGACAATGAGGAATTTTATGCTGACTCGTTCTTGCCTGTCGCTGGCGACCATGTGCTCGTGTCGCCTCAGCATTTTGGACATCAGGGCGCCTTTGGGAGGAGAGGAGAGCAGAGGAGAAGGCGCACACAAAGGAGTCACTGAAACAATGCAAATCGAGACAGCTTGGGATTTGAGTGCGTGTTACAGAGAGAGAGAGAGGCCGCCTTCTTTGTCTGCCATAAAGGAGACAAATGTCTCCTCTGGGGCTTTTTCAGAGGTGTTTGTATGCTGTCAGATGTAGAAGGTATTGACCAGAGGGTGTCACACAGCGGTCTGGCCCAAGAGCTAATGGACACCTGAGTATTGTTAAAAGGTTGCTTGCTATCATGAGCATGTATAACTCGATAGAAAGGAATGAATATAAGTGCGCTTTGGGATGTTTTGTTCTTCATTTGTAGCTGATAGAAAGCTGAGCCTTGCATTTTGTACCACCAAGTATATATACTTTGTTATTGGACTCAAATCTCGATATTAACAAACATGAGATTAACTGTCCATAAATCCAAAACAAATACAGTATTGGGTCTAAATAGGTCCAGTGATTGGCTGGCGACCAATCCAGAGTGTATCCCACCTCTCGGCCAAAGTCAGTAGGCTT